AGATGAACCATGAGAGACGATGGACTCTGAAAAACAAACTGAGGGTTCTAGAGGGGAGGGGGGTGGGAGGATGGGTTAGCCTGGTGGTGGGTATTGGGGAGGGCACGTTCTGCATGGAGCCCTGGGTATTATGCACAAACAATGAATCATGGAACACTTCATCTAGAACTAATGATGTAATGTATGGTGATTAACATAACATAATAAAATAAAATTTTTTTAAAAAGGTAATTAGTTGGTCCCTAGCACTGGAGAGGTAGGGGGTGGGATAATGGTGGAGGTGGTGGCTAAAGGGTAGAGTTTCTTTTTGAGGTGATGAAAATATCATAAAATTGGCAGTGGTGATAGTTGCACATATCTGTGAATATACTAAAAGCCAGTGAATTTTACCTTCAAGTGGGTAAATTGTATGGTATGTGAACTATATCACAACAAAGCTGTTAATAAAAAAACAAAACAAAAAAAACCCCATCAGGGCCCCAGGTTACAGTGGCCTCTTGTCCCGAACTGTGCCTTTCCAGGATGAGAAGAACACAGGATGTGGACACTAGGCAAGATGCAAGGTCGGAGATGCAGGCTATGGCCCACACAAGCCTCTGCCTGTCCCCACTGAGAATGACCCACTTCTGCAGCGAGGGCTCAGGGAACTCTACCAACTACCTTCTCTCCTCGGGCTTCCTGGCCCCTTTGACCTCTGTGCCCTGTGCCCAACGGGGCGCCATAGCCCCGGGCCAGATGTTGGCCCCATTCACACTTGCCTCAGCAGACAGGTGAGGTGTGGCAGGTTTGCCCCAGCAGTGCTCACAAGGAGAAGGCCGAGGGCAAAGTGTGTGCGCAAGTCCTGAGAAGATGACTAGTAGCCACGTACTGTCCAACCTCCAGAGCCTTCCCCGCGCAGCTGAACAGGGCATCTATGTGATACTGAGAAGGAAATAACTAAGCATTAAAGAAGTACTAGCAGAAAATATTTCTGTCTGGCGCTCGCCATGTTACACAGGGATCTTGGAAAGGACATCACTACAATGCAGAGTGTGGCTGTAACTGGTAACTCTGTGCCAGGAGAAATACAGAGCCATGTTCCGAATATATAGTTTGGGTGAAGGCAAATGGTGGTTCAAATTCAAAAGCCACATGTCCTACAAGGAAAAAACCCAGGAATCACTGTGTCTCATTCCCAATCAGGAGTGGTCAGATTCTTCAGACTTGTGGAAACTAGACTACAATCACATGTACTGAAACGGCTGTGTGTAAAACTGTAGCATTCTTAGATGTGTCTGAGAGCAGTCAAGAAAAAAAGCTGATGTGTGTGTGTACAAAAATATATATACATGAATATAGAAGAAAATATATATGTATATAAGTGTATATATACACATCCATCAAGAAGTGGGGTGTATGTGCTAGCAATACCATCTAAAAAGTACTTAGGGGGCATAAAACCACACTGAATGGTGAAGAAACCCATTCCACTGGCCAAGAGGGCAATTTGGGGGAGGGGGTAGGACTCTAAAATACTACAAAATGAACCACCAGACTTTAATCAGAAAAATCCCAGAGCTAGAAGAAGCAGGACAGAAGTAAGGATGCCTATGTAAAGGGCACAAAGCTTCCAGAGCTAAAACTGAACAGCCTGAAGAAGTGAAGGCATCAGAGGACCCAGGGGAGACTGTCCAAGATTAAGGCCACCTGGAGCTCTTTTACATATGAAGCATCAGAGATTTCTTTTCTCTGTTAAAAAGATCCAAGATGAGGGAGAAAGAGCTGCTTCCTTCTCAAATACTGCTTTTAAGTGACACTATTTTTGTACAGTTATCACATATGAGGTATATAAATTAAAATCTGTAAGATTTTTTAAATGATCTATTTCATTTAAATATTTTATAATTTCAATTCTAGTATCCTACCATCTAGATTATGCATGAGGAAGTAGCATTAACACCTCTATTACACATTACCTTAGAGGTGTTTTGGTACTTGCGGATATTTTCTACCAGATTACAGGATGCTCAAAGCCCATGCCCACATGGTTGAACATCAGGACTTTCAATGGCAGGTGCTCAATAAAGAACAGCTTGCCCAGTGAATGTTGCTAATGGTGGGAAGTTCTTCCCAGGGGTAAACATGAGGGTCTGAATTATATTAAATCCTCTTAAGTTGTTAGATCCACTAGACATGAAGAACTTAGCATCCACCTAATGAAAAGTCTTCATGAACCTAGAATGGTTCAAGCTGTGTCTTATGCCAGAGTTTGCCAAGGCTTGGGGAGAGTTTGCCACAGAGGGGAAAGAGGCCCCTTGACTCTACTGGCCAGCTCAGAGCTACCATCTTCAGACAGTTGAGCCCTGCCCTCAAGATTCTCATAGTCAGTATAAGACACTGACACCAGCTTCACTCTGTTTCAAAAAGCATGCTGTCTGTCCCCACCAGCTTGTGTGCCCTGACTCACTACTACACTCTCCCACCTCCAGCCTATATGCTGGGCTCTCGCTTCCATCCATGGCCTGACTTCATCTCTGCACCTTTTCTGCTCCAAGGAAAAGGACTCCAGCCACTTTGACCTTGTCTACATCTAACCTACTCTAGATTTTGCTTAAATGCTCTGTGACTAAGTCTGTTCAGATTCAGGAAGCCTAGACATTTTATAAAAAGTTTCTTCACAGGGCACTTGGGTGGCGCAGCTGGCTAAGCATCTGACTCTTGGTTTCAGCTCAGGTCATGAGATCGAGCCCTGTTTAGGGCTCCACGCTAAGTGGGGAGTCTGCTTGAGATTCTCTCCCTCCCTCTCCCTGCCCCTGTTGTGCCTGAATGTGCGCTCTCTCTCTCTCTCTCAAATAAATCTTTAAAAAAGTTTCTTCTCATATAAAGTTCTTTATGTCTCATGCCTACAGTTAACAATACTGTATTAGACATTTTTAAAATTTTGTTAAGATAGATCTCAAAATAAGTGTTCTCCCCAGTTTTGTTTTTTTTTTTTTTAAAGAACATTTCCTATATAAGATCTAGGATAAGAACCGGAGGCATAAAGATTAATCAAGAAGATTTGGGCCGAACACAGACATTTGAGGCCTGCGGGAGACTGTGCGGGGTCCAGCTTTGCGCTGAGACGCTCTGGCGCCAGAATGGACCGGAGGAAAAAGCCTTTGGATGTTACGGCCTCCTCGTTGGTAGACCTTAAGGCTGAACTCTTCCGAAAACAAGAAGAATTCAAACAAGAAAAACTTCTAAAAGATTCTGGCGTTTTGGGAAAACCAAAAACAACTAATAAGAAACCAAGTATCTGGAGCAAACAGAATGCAGGAGTTTCAAATCGAGCTGAGAAGGATGCAGAACAGAAGATCGAGGAACAGAAGACTTTAGACAAAGCAAGGGAGAAATTGGAAGAAAAAGCCAAATTATATGAGAAAATGACTAAAGGAGACTTTATAGATGAAGAAGTGGAGGATATGTACCTTGTGGATTTCACGCAGAAGATCATAGACAAACACAAAGAAATGGAGGTGTTTGGTGCCAATAGAGATTCTAGAAAGGCAGCAGAAAGAGATGATGATGAAGAAAATCTTTCTGAAAAGGATATACCTCCTCCGCAGGACCCCAGTGAAGAATGGGTGGATTATGTGGATTCTTTAGGGCAATCTCGGCGCTGTATGAAAAAGGATTTGCCAGATTTGCTGGAGATGGATAAAAATCTTCAAGGGAGGCTTTTCATTAGTCCTGCTAATGAGAAAACCTTATTATCCGAAGATATGAGAAAAGAACTTCAGCGCCAGCAATGGGAGGAAGAAGAAAGAGAGGCCTTGAAAAGGCCAATGGGGCCCATCCATTATGAAGACATTCATGAAAATGAGGCCCGGCAACTTGGTGTTGGATATTTTGCTTTTGCTCGAGATAAAGAGTTGAGAAATAAGCAGATGAAAACATTAGAGATGCTGCGTGAACAGACAACAGATCAGAGAACAAAACGAGAGAACATAAAGGAAAAGCGAAAGGCTATGTTAGAAGCAAGACTTGCTAAACTCCGACAAAAAAAGATGAAAAAGTCAAAAGAAGATGGAGCAGAGGAAGAAAACAGAGATGTTATTGGACCTTTGCCACCAGAACCAGAGGCTGTGCCAACTCCACATACTGCTGCCCAGAGCAACAAAGTGGAAGTCATTGTTCAGGAGAGGAAGGATACCAGGCCCGGAGTGCCCCATGTCCGAGATTGGGACAGAGGAAAAGAATTTTCCTTTGGGTACTGGTCGAAGAGGCAGTCAGATCTCTGGGCCGAGAGAGATCCTGAGTTTGCTCCACCATCAGATTACTTTGTGGGTCAAAAGAGAACTGGTACCTTTGGTAGCCAGACATGGAACAGACCTGCACCTGCACAGAGTGACTCAGGACAGCGCTCTGGCCAGAGCCATGACCCCAGCTCTTCACATACATCATCCACTCCCGCCCCCAGCAGGCCACCACAAGCCGCCACAGTCACTTTCAAAACTCTGGATGATATGATATCGTATTATAAACAAGTGACATGAACTTCAAAAAAAAAAAAAAAAAGATTAATCAAGAAGATCTGAACAAACCAATTACCAGCAAAGAAATTGAATCAGTGATTAAAAAACTCACAACAAACAAAAGCCCAGGCCCAGATGGCCTCACAGGAAAATTCTACCAAACATTTAAAGAAGAGTTAATACCCATTCTTCTCAAACTATTCCAAAAAAACAGAAAAGGAAGGAAAACTTCCAAATTCATTCTATGAGGCCAGCATTACCCTGATACCAAAACCAGATAAAGATACCACCAAAAAAAGAGAACTACAGGCCAGTATCTCCAATGAACATAGATGCAAAAATCCCCAACAAAACACTAGCAAACCAAATCCAACAGTACATTAAAAAAAATCATTCACTACAATCAAGTGGGATTTATTGCTAGGTTGCAAGAGTGGTTCAATATCTGCAAATCAATATATCACATCAATAAGAGAAAGGATAAGAACCATATGATGATTTCAATAGACGAAAAAAAGCATTTGACAAAGTACAACATCTGTTCATGATAATGGTAGGTTTAGAGGGAACATACTTCAACATAATAAAGGCCATTTATGAAAAGCCCACAGCTAACATCATCCTTAAATGGGGAAAAACTGAGAGCTTTTCCCCTAAAGTCAAGAAGAAGACAAGGATGTCCACTCTCACTGCTTCTATTCAACATAGTACTGGAAATCCTAGCCACAGCAATCAGACAACAAAAAGAAAGAAAAGGCATCCAAATTGGCAAGGAAGAAGTCAAACTTTCACTATCTGCAGATGACATAATACTCTATATAAAAATTCTGAAAGACTCCAACAAAAACTGCTAGGACTGATACACGAATTCAGTAAAGTCCCAGAATACAAAATCACTGTATGGAAATCTATTGCATTTCTATACACTAATATAAGGCAGCAGAAAGAGAAACTAAGAAAACAATCCCATTGACGATTGCACCAATAACAATAAGATACCTAGGAATAAACTTAACCAAAGAGGTGAAAAACCTGTACTCTGAAAACTATAAAACACTGATGAAAGAAATTGAAGACAACACAAAGAAATGGAAAGACATTCCATGCTCATGGATTGGAAGAACAAATACTGTTAAAATGTCTCTACTACCCAAAGCAATGTACGTATTTAATGCAATCCTTATCATAATACCAACAGCATTTTCACAGAGCTAGAATCAACAAACCTAAAATTTTTATGGACCCACGAAAGATCCCAAAGAGCCAAAGCAATCTTGAAAAAGAAAAACAAACCTGGAGGCATCACAATTCTGGACTTCAAGTTATATTACAAAGCTCTAGTAATGAAAACAGTATGGTGCTGGCACAAAAAACAGACACATAGATCAATGGAACAGAAAAGAAAATCCAGAAATGAACCCACAATTATATGGTCAATTCATCTTCAACAAAGCAGAAAATGAAAAAAAGAATGTCTCAACAAACGGTATTGGGAAAACTGGACTTTCTTACACCATACACAAAAATAAGTTCAAAATGGAGGTGTCTGGGTGGCTCAGTTAAGCGTCTGACTCTTGATTTCAGCTCAGTTCTTGATCTCACTGTTGTGAGTTCAAGCCCCACACTGGGCTCCATGTTGGGTGTGAAGCCTACTAAATGAAGGAATGAATGAATGAATGAATGAATGAATGAATATTCAAAATGGATAAAACAGCTAAATGTGAGACATGAAACCACAGAAATCCTAGAAGAGAACGCAGGCAGTAACTTCTTTGACATTGGCTATAGCAACTTCTTTCTAGATATGTCCCCTGAGGAAACCATTGGAACTACATCAAAATAAAACACTTCTGCACAGCAAAGGAAACAATCAACAGAACTAAAAGGCAACCTAGGGAATGAGAGAAGATATTTGCTAATGATATATTCAATAAAGGGTTAGTATCAAAAATATATAAAGAACTTTTAAAACTCAACACCCCAAAAATAAATAATCCAATTAAAAAATAGGCAGAAGACATTAACAGACATTTCTCCAAAGACATACAGATGGCCAACAGACACATGAAAAGATGCTCATCATCACTTACCATCAGAAAAATGCAAATCAAAACTACAATGAGCTGTCACCTCATACCTGTCAGAATGGGTAAAGTCAACAACATAAAAAACAACAGGTGTTGGTGAGGATATGGAGAAAAAGGAACTCTCTTGAAATGTTGCTAGGAATATAAACTGGTGCAACAGTATGGAAGTTCCTCAAAAATTTAAAAATAGAACTACTCTATGATCCAGCAATTGCACTACTGGCTATTTACCTAGAGAATACAAAAACACTCATTCAAAGGGATACATGCACCCCTATGTTTACAGTGGTATTATCTACCATTATCTACAATTAGCCAAGATATGAAAGCAGCCTAAGTGTCCACTGAGTGATGGATAAAGATGTGGTGTATATATATATATATGTGTGTGTATATATATATACACACACATATATGTGTGTGTATATATATATACACACACAAATGGAATATTATTCAGCCATAAAAAGAATGAAATCTTGCCATTTGCGAAGACATTGATGGAGCTAGAGAATATAATGCTAAGTGAAATAAGTCAGTCAGAGAAAGACATATACCATATGATTTCACTCATATGTGGAATTTAAGAAACAAAACAAATGAGCAAAGGGAAAAGAGAGAGAGAGAAACCAAGAAACAGATTCTTAACTATTGAGAACCAGTTGATGGTTACCAGAAGGGAGGTGGGTGGGGGGATGGGAGAAATAGGTCATGGGGATGAAGGAGTGCATTTGCTGTGATAAGCACTGGGTAGTGTACGGAAGTGTTGAATTACTAAACTGTACACCTGAAACTAATATAACGCTGTGTGTGAACTACCTGGAATTAAAATAAAAACTTAAAAAAAAAGATGAATCAAGATGAACAGAGACAAGGAACCACAACACAAAGCAGAACTGGTGCCATGACAGACTTGGAGATCTTCCCTTGCAGCTAAGGGTACAGGGAGGAAGGGCAGCTCACGTGCTGGGAAGGTTAACACCACTGGTCAGAGTTACCATGATGGTCAGTTTCCCACAGAGACACTGAAAAAAGGTGTCGATTGCCTTATAGTAGTTATATAAGGTTCTGTGTCAGGAGGAGGAGGACATGGATCAGGGCCAAGAAAACCAAGAGAGTAAATGTAACAGGGGAAGGGAGTGAGGGAACGGGCAGAAACGAGGAATTGCTGCCAGGAGTTCCAGAAGGTCAAGCACCCAAGTCAAGAAGGGAAGAAGTGTGCTGGTGAGAGGTGCAGGCAAAGCTCTTGGCAAGCTTGTCCAGCCTGAAGAGACCAAGGAGGTCAAAAGAATTCAATCTTTTCTAGTCACTGAGTTCTTGGAATAAATGACTACAGCAAATGCTCCAGTTTCAACCTATATCTAAGGATTTTGACGTTGAACCTATAGCCCCACCAGGTAGGAGCCAGTGTCCCCACCTGCTGGACTCAGCAGGATAAATGACCTGCAGAAGGAGGAACTGGTTGGAACCCAGTAGGATATTCAGACTCATCCAGGGCACCGCCCCCCCCAAGCTGAATCTCCAACTGAGGTGCATTCCTGTCCTCTGCTTACCTGAGCGGTTGGTATCACAAGACTCTCTACTGATACTACAGTAAATATATGCTCAAGGCCACCTATAGCTGGTAGTTGACCCTCCAGGACTCAAAAAAGAGGGTGTTCCCAGGGACCAGGCTGCCCCTGCCCATGAGCAGTTCCCAGTGGAAGGTTCAAAGGCTGTTTCTAAGAAATGCAAATACTGAGCATCCAGTGCAATAACACCAAACCAAGGAGTGGAAGGGCAGACAAGAAGGAGACAAAAAGGCAATGAGTTGAGAAGCTAGAGAAGCAGTGACCCAAGGGCCCCGACTCCCCAAACTGGAGATGAACAAAGAGGGTGGACAGACTCAGTCGGTTCAAGAGTGATCTCGGGGATGTAAAGTTCTGGCTGCATGATTTCTTTCTGAGCAATGGTACAGGAGAGGACAAAGAGGCCATGCTGTAGTCCTCAGGTGGGTCTCCATGGAGACCCATTCCAGGAGAGGCAGCAGCCAAACAGCCAAACCAGGGGATGAGAGCTGGGCCCCTCTGATGGGAGGCCTCAGAACTTTGCCCTCTCTGCACACTTCACGGTTGTGAGGCTGGGGAACTACAACACCCTCCATACATGGCTTCTCAATCAACAGTTCTAGTTCATTTCCCATGGAGCTTGTTAGCCACCACTGAAAACAATAGTCACATGTGTAGTAAAAGTGTAAAACACATGAGGGCAAAAAACACCGAACTCAGAATAGCGGTTACCATTTAGGGGAAGTGTGAGAAATGCACTGTAAGGATGGGTAACCAAGGCGGCTTCGACTATGGTGGTAATATTTTATTTTTTAAACTAAGTGATGTGGGTTGTTCGGTTGGTTAAGCGTCTGCCTTCAGCTCAGGTCATGATCCCAGAGTCCCGGGATCGAGCCCCACGTCAGGCTACCTGCTCAGCAGGGGAGTCTGCTTGTCTCTTCCCTTCTGCCCCTCCACCTCACTCATGCTCTCTCTCTCTCTCAAATAAATAAAATCTTTAAAAAAATAAACTAAGTGATGGATAACCATACGTTCGCTACATTCTCTTCTAACTTTTAAGAAATACCGCGTGTGTGTGCGTGTGTGTGTGTGTGTGTGTGTGTGTGTGTGTGTGAAATATAGGCTCAACTGCCAGGGCAAGTTCACCAACAAAGCAGCTCCTGAGAGCACAGCACTACAGCTCCTGACTAGCAGGCAGCACCTACGAGGGTCACACAACAAGCAGTTGGCGGCATCCGACCTCATTCTCAGGACAGATTCTCTGTGGGTATTATGACCACCCACATCACACAGATAGAAACTTGGGCACACAAAGGTTACAAAACTTGCCCAAGAGCACACACTAGTAAGTAGCAGGGTTGGGACTCGAATTTGGGTCTGCTGCCTCAATGCACCA